GGGGAGAGAACGGAGATTTTGCAATATCCTTCCCCTGCCACGACCACCAAGCCACGCCCACAGAACCGGGAAAAATTTTGAATTTCACCCCTGCCGTAAATCACTAATGAGGATCTTAATTTTGATCACGATAGGAAATCTAAAGAACAGGGGTGATTAAAACAGTATAGGATAAAATATTGCATTTTGTAATTAGTCATGGATAGTTAAACAAGTACAATCGACAGAGACTGCCTTTCCCTCTTTGATTTGTGTCTCTCTTCCTGTTTTAGTTTCCCTCCGACCAAAAATAAATGGCTTTTAATATAAGGTATCTAGGTAACATTAAAATAAAAGTATAAAGTATGCTTATACATTCACATAAAACTTCCTAATACTGCCACAAGCAAATTTGGCAAACGGGAAGTAACCTGAATAACTAATCTCTCTGTCAGCCGAGCATTATGCTGAGATGGGCATAGATCCAACTTGTTCTATCCTTGCTGTCCTTAAGGTGGCAATTCAGGTGGAAAATGTATAATATTCAGGCTTGGAGCAGGTTCAAAAAAACCAGAGGGACTCCCTTTTCTGAATGGTAACCAGCAATAAAGTTTGTACTCCTTCCAACCATCCTATCAATCTTCTAAAAAGCTGAGGCAAAAGCTGATTCACTCCTGACAAGTTCTCTCATTCCACAGTCGCCTGGAGGACATGGCATGGAAACCAGGGGGGAAAAAAACAATAACTTTGCTCCCCAAACTACATCTTAACTCTTGGCACTTATTATGTTGGCTTTGGACAGATGACAAAAAGCCAAGTAACTTCTCACATTACTCCCAAAGTATTAAGTCAGCTCTGTGTCAGGTTTAAAGCGATTTTGTGAGAGATTATTTTTGTGGCCAAAGTTCTGTCTCTGATGTAACTCTCATTCTACAACATGAAGAAGTTTTTGAGGAGATATTCAAATGGGATAGGCTTTGCACAATTGGTTATCAAATGCATTGCTCACAATTACAAGAATAAAAATAGTTCTAGGTCCCACAAATTACTTTGTACCCTACCCTAATAAAAGTAATCATGCCACAAAACTGGAAGCCCAACATCGGCCCCTCATCCCCTGAATTCTGATGCTTCTAGGCAGCAGCAAATTTAACTCTTTATCCTACCAGATTCACTAACCCACAAGTTGCCAGATATGTTCATTGAGATTGGAGACCTTGCAGTTTTGAAAGCTCCATAGGACTGCTCTCCTTTGCTCAGGGCTCAACTATTAAAAATCTGATTAACAACAAACACAGATGGAATGTTGTATGGAAGAACATACCTCTCTACCAGTGCATTGTTCCTCCTGCACCTTCCAGCTTTTGTTTAGTTTCTAAACATTGGCTTATCTGTCTTGTAGAAAAATGTTAAACCACTGTTCAAAAGGAATTAAAATAATAGCTGACTGACCATAGAAGGGGTTCATGAGTTTAAAAGACTTTCAGGTAGAGACAGAGAGCCTCGACTGAAAGAACTTGACTCTACCACTGCTCCCACACACAAAATGGGCCAGAGTCCATGGATATATTTCAATGCTGTTTTGGAATAAGGGAAACCCCGTTTTGACACTGGAATAGTTAGTAATGGACTGAAGATAAAATGGAGATAGCCTCATGAGGACATGGTACTTAAAAGGTTTACTGGCATTTGTGACATGGTTGGGTCCAAGGAAGAAAAGACCTTGAATGGAAGCTAGTTCCATGGGGAAACAATAAACTTAACTGGACTAAAATTGTGCTTTATTACAAAACAATTACACCTGACAACACTCATATTTTCCTTTGGTCCCATTATATTGGCCTCATTTGGTTCCATCCATGTGTGAGATTAAGTCATTATTGTAAATTCTTATTCTACCTTTCAATAACAGACAGGATAGAATTTATTATTTTGTTTTGTTTTTTCACACATTATATTGGGGATGAGTTCAGATAGTCAGTATTGAAGTGAGCATGATCAGAACTATGTTTGGAGAGTGTTTGGATAATTAACCCTCTGCTTTCTAGCCATTTCCTCCTAGCACAGGGGTGTCAAACTCACGACGTCATGTCATCACCCATCGTAAGTTACTTTTTTCCTTCACTAAACGGGGTGAGGGTGTGTGTGGCCATGGCCAGTGTGTGACACATCTGGCCACAAGTTTGACACTCCTGTCCTAGCATGTGTCCTATGTATTAATAACTATCATTTCCTCAGTTCTGTTTTTGATTCTAACTGATTTTCAAGCTTCAAAAAAGGTTGAGAAATGGCTTAATTCAGGGAAGAAGTTAAGGACATGTTTCATTCATTCATTCCTTCACCCCACCAGTATCAGTTTACCAGGTCTATATACAATGGTAGGATGCTACCATTGGCAGTAATTCAAGACTTTTTACTACTTATACCTAATTAGAGCAGAAACATATCCTGCAAATTTCTTCTTTATGTCCTTGAAAATTAAACAGGGTCCTACCACTTAAGCATTTGGATGAGAAATTACCAATCTAGGAAGTTTAAAAAATAGTTTCTATAGTTGACAAAAAGCCTGATGTATGAATCCATGAAATCACCAGGAATCAAGTTCAGTTCAATGGAGACTTCGTACTGCTTTACTGCTCATTACAGATGCCATGGACTCCAGAACTCAGATGCCAGATGAGCTGTCATTACTTGTGTAACTGGATCAATTCCCCAGATAAACTGACTCCAAGAGCCAGATGCTTGCACCATCAGAGAAAGGGCTGAGGATCAAATTAAGAACAGCAATTTCAAATGTTATTCACCCCTCTTGACATATACTTCCTCAGTCACTTGCTGCCTCCTGATAGGGGATTCTTTCTATACTGACATTGCATTGTGGATACTGTATTTCTTGCTCTGTGGCCTTTTCCTCGCCCCCACTGTACATTATCTCTTTTCTGGTGTGAGCTGCTATTGCCAACCCAATTTAAACTATGTCAGTTTGGCTCTTCCTCAAAGCTGAGAGAATGAGCTATTAGCCTGAAAACTATAGCAGCATAAAATGTGCTGCTTCCGTAGGTGATTCCCACCCTAGTATTGTCCTGATGTATTATGAACAAGACATTTTAAGAGATAGGGACTGTTTTGCCTCCGTCTCCTCCCATGAAACCACACTACATAGTGGTAAAATATCCACCAGTTACTCTTAATGTGAGATAATGGTGAGGTGTGTTTGACAGATGGCTAAAGCAGTGGGTTTCACCATCTATTAAAATTCACTTTCATTTGTGCAAGTGTTCGTACAAATGTATTCAAGGGGAGCCCAACTAATAGCTGAGATCAGCTACCATGAGTCTCCTTTTAGAGATGGTTTTAGTGCTCACATAGAACACTATTAAACCTGTGTTCAAAGATAACCTAAGAATAGATGTAAGGGGGTTGAGCTATGAAACTACAAAGCTGCTCTCCCATTTCCTTATGTAGCCTTATATAGCAATTGCCGGTGAGCTAGTGTCTTGTGCAAGCGACCCAGGTCTCAAAAATAGGAATTGGCTCAGATCTGACAGGTAGGAGGGAGATCCGAGTGTGAAAGAAGCAGCTTCTCTTACTGCCCAACCCATGATGTTCCTGCAGGACGATGCAGGCGCGAGAAAACAGGGCATGCCTCCAGCCCCTCAAAATGTCCTATAAGAGCTGAGCTGAGCCCAATTCCTAAGAGTCAACCTAACCGCATCCACAATAGAAGAGTTGGCAAAGCATGTCAGTTTGTATCCATGGTAACACTTCTTTAATCAGAAAGGAAAACACTCCTTGAAAACTGGGACAGATAAAGATGGCACAGAACAACAAAAGGTGGCCGAAACGTAATTGTGCCATGTTATGTACAGGTGTGGGAAGCCTGGCCGGTAACAGACCACCTTTCGTCTCTCACGACCCGCGAAGAGTTATTCTCCCCGACATTTTAGATCCCCCCCCCTTTTCTCTCTCTCTCTCCCTCACACCCGCACTTCGGGGCCCGAGGCTCGCTCTTCGCTAAAGACTCGCTAAGGGTGAGGAGGAAGGAGTGGCGCGCCCTGAGGGCGCTTCTTGGCTTGTGGCTGCCGATATCGGTTGGCGGCTCCGTGAAGCGCCGAGCTGTAAAGGCCGCCGCCGCCGCCGCCGCCGCCCGTTTTCCCTCAGGCTAGCTCTCGGAGCTTCTGTTCCGGTGGCCTCTGCGGAACATATATACTGTCAAAGAGCCCGACTCTTCCCCCACCGCTCATGCCGAGCTGAGAAGGTGGGGGTGGTGGTGGAATCTAGGCACCCAGTCCTCGGTGTTGCGCGGGGTGCCGAAAGGCGGTTTCTCTGGGAAGGAAGGGCCTCTTTCTTTCGCGCCAGCTTTTGATGGCGCGCCTGTGGGTTACGGCGAGGGCGAGAGCGACGCGAGTGGGAGAAGGGTGGGATTGGCCGATTGCGGGGACCTGCTTTCAGCCCTCCCGAAGGCAAGCCGAGGCGACCGGCAAGCGGATGGTGGTGGGGGGGGGGGGGGGGGAGGGGGCGGGGGGGGGGGGGGGGGGGGGGGCTGGGTAGCTGTCACGGTCTATGTGCGAGGAATGACTAAACGTTGATTGAGGAGCCGTGGAGGCTTTCGGCGTCTCCTCTCCGCGCACAGTTCACATCTTCCTTGCGCGCGCTGATGCCCCTCCGCCTCGCGCGGCGTGCCACGCTCCCCCGCCCGCTTCTTACTCTCTCCTGCAGCAAATTAAGTGTTTCGAGACGTAATTGAAGAATCCGAGTGTTTTCCGTTTAATTCTCTTTTTTTTCCCCTCCCCCTTTTCCCGTGCCCATCCCAGGCAAGGCGAGCACTCCGGCCCCGTACCCGTTCAATGAAGCAGCACAGATTCCCGGCCGTTTCAAGTGGGATTTTGCAGGACGAGGAGAAGAAGGAGGAGGTGGAGGAGGAGGAAGAGGAGGAGGAGGAGGAGGAGGAGGAGGAAGTGGCGGTGGAGGGAAGGAGTTGGCAGCATCAGCAACGGCAGCAGGCATATTTACAAGGAAGCATTTCGGGTCTCGCTCTGCTACTGGGGATATAAATGTCATTCAAAGCATCCCCAGATCGGTTTACGGCTCCTCTCCGTTTTCTTCCGAAGCGCTGATTTGAGTCCCGAATATTGCATTTCTGCGGCTTGCTATCCGAGAAGGTAAGGAGACTGTAAGCGCAAAATGCGCGGCGGCGGCGGCATGGTCACCGGGAGGATAACTTCCCCTCCTTGCCCTGCCCCACACCACCACATCTTCTCTTCCCATCTCCCCCCCGCCTTTTTTCCCCCCCAGGTACGGTGGTATTTAGGCACGACCTCCCTCCCCGCTTGCCCATCCTTTCTGGGCTGCTTGATCCGTAGGGAGGAAAGCGAGAGCGGGAGATGGCCTTTGAAACCAGACCCTTTGCTTGATGGAAAAGCTGGGCAGGATCTGACTTTTGTACTTTTTTTTTTTTACTCTGATGTAAAGAACCTTTAAGATCGTAGTATGCCTAACGCCACTCACGATCCCCAGTCTTTCATTTCTGTGCCCCCCAAACCGCCTTTCTTTTTTTTTTCCCCCCCCCTCCCGGAAGAGCAGACAGCCATCTAGCCCCTTCCAAGCAACTCGTCATCATCTGGCATTGCCCCCTCCCCCAAATGCTATAGGCTGAGTCCTTTCTAGCCACCGACTGCAAACTCGGACCCCCTCCCTCCCTGGTTTCACACACCATTTGCTATTCTCAAGGAACAAAAAGTCTAGCTCCCCCCCCCATCACCACCACCACCACCACACGTGTACGCCTTGGATTCCTTTTTAACCTCTTTCTGTCTTCATTCCTAATCTGATGTTGCACGTTTCTCGCTTTTAAATTAGCTTAAAAAAGTACTGCAACTCTTGAAACTTCTCGGGTTGCTACAGTGCAGCCCATACATTGTAAAACTCAGAAGGAGAACAAAATGCTGCTAAGCCTCTTGTGCCTTACTCTCTTTTAAATGATGCATTTTTTTCTTCCCTTTTCATTTTTTTAAATTCCTTTGTTTTTCCTTCCTTCCTTCCTTCCTTCCTTCCTTCCTTCCTTCCTTCCTTCCTTCCCTCTTTCTCTTTTGCCAAGGAAATTTGCTCCATCTCCAGCATCAACCACTGCTCCTTTTGATGTTGTGGTACACCGTGCGCATGCGTTCCACATTAGAATTACTGCACTGGCTAGAATAAGTTGGATCGCTTCTTCTCTTCTATTGAAACCCTAAAATCCTATCAAAAGCTAAAGGGATGCTGAGAGTCCGGAAAAAAGGTTGCTTTGGGATTTGGTCGTTGCCCTTTATAATAACAGTGGTTTGTGCACAGAGGTAAGTGATTAAAGGTTCTCTTCTAATTTAACCACCCCCCCCCTCAGTCCTTCACTTTGAAATGTATTGTATGCTTCCGATAAACTGAAGGTGCAAAATGCATTTTGAGGGGGAGAGAGAGAGAGAGAGAGAGAGAGGGAAGACAGAAAATGTCTCTGTACTGATGTTTTTTTTCTTTGTCTCTCTTTAGTGCTAATGATCCTAGCAATATGTCCCTAGTAAAAGAGACTGTGGATAGATTGCTGAAAGGCTACGACATTCGACTGAGGCCAGATTTTGGAGGTAATTTGATTGCTTTTGTGGAAGAATCTTGCTGCATGCCTAAGCTGCCATGCTCTGGGTTGTGAGTGCCTGTTTCAAACATTGTCAGGGAGCTGCCTCTCTCTAATGCACTGGAATTGTCATTTCTGAAGATTTTTCCAAGTTAAGTCACTGTTTTCCAATTTTCTCTAACATACAATGACTATTTTGTATATGTATGTGTGGGATTGGCCTCATTGTAGGAATATGTGTTGGCAGGAGGTGTACATTGCTGTCTGTAATTTAAACTTTAATTAGGTTTATTGAGATGCTAATGTCCTAAGTTTATCCAGTGCTCATTCATCAAGCTACCGTATCTATCCCTGTGGTATTTTATGAGTATTTTAAAGTGCAAATATCCTGTAAATGGAATGTTCATGTCATTCAAACCACCCAGGGGCTTTGCTTTTAGTGAAATATTTCCATGTGCATGTGTCTGCGATGTTTTAAACCTAAATTTAAATTAGAGTCCTTTGGAATACACAACAAGAGAACATTCAGTGAACAGAATAGTTTGGAATTTGGGATGGGTTGACTTTGTACTTTGCTAGACTCCGTTCACTAAGATGAGTCCACGCGGAAAGTGGGAATCAAAGCCCTACTTGCTTTAAAGTCCTCCTAATTTCCTCTAGTTGGTCGGAGGTTTCCCTCTGTCTGACCAACTAAAAAGACCCTGCACCCTGTTAGTAATGTAGCAACCCTACAGGGAGGAAAGTATAAGCATGTGTGTTAGTTACGTAAAGGCTTCCTGCTACTGGGAGAGAGAGCGAGACCCTGGAAGGGGGTAACTAAGACTGAGAAGTCCTTGTGCCCCACCCCTTCTGGAGTCTGAGCTAATCTTCCCTGAAATGAGTTAAATGGTTAAAGATCACAGTGCAGACTGTCTTATGTTCCAGGTCCTCCTGTGGCTGTTGGCATGAACATAGACATAGCCAGCATAGACATGGTGTCAGAAGTCAATATGGTGAGTACTTCAGATCACTCCCACCCATCTCCACCTCCTACATTGTATTAAGGTCTGGAATATATTACATCCTGTTACAGGGAAGGGGAACCAATGAAAGTTCTGGGCTTTTCCCCCCCTCCTTTTATTTACATTGGCAGCAATGTTTTAGGCCATCCCTTTTCTACACCCTCCCCAATATATCTGGTGCCTGTTTTTTTTTCCCTCTTTCTTTTTCTTCCTCTCTCTCTCTCTCCCTCCCTCCCTCCCTCCCTCTCCCCCCGTACATTGATTTAGGACTACCTGAATATGAAAATTGTGACCAGTGGATTTTAAGGAATAACAATATCTTTGGCTGCGTTTTTCATTTGAAATGATATTGAATTGCTATACACACACAAACACAGAGGAAATGGATTTGTGAGGCTTCACAAGGGCATCTGAAATAAATTCTTTTTTTTCCCCAAATGAATGATTGCCATTTGAATACATTGGTATTGTTTAACTGTTATGATTTATAGAGTGTAAAAAGCTGGTCAGATTTATTGACAGTTGTGCTATTTAGCAGATACTGTTTCAGACATACAGTTAAGAGAGTCCTAAGGGAACAATTCTGGCCTCTTTTTGCTCATGCTGGATTGCCCCCTGCTGACATGACTTTGCACTGCATCTTGTATTTCTGTAACATTTTTGTTCACTGTTTGGGATCACGTATGTGATTATTTTAGAATGTTGATGAGTGGAAAATGGGATTAGTCTTGACTGTTTCAATATTTTATATGTGCCCTGCTAGTTTTGAAGTATACGGGACTTCTATTAGAAGTGGAAGAATGGGTGTTTGTGCATTTTGGAATAAAATTCAGTTTTCTTGCGGAGACATACTTTGACTTTTATTGAAAATTCCAGTTTTTATGGTGGGAAAAATAATTTGTAAAGACTGTAAAAATATAAAAGTGATTTTTGTAATATATTACATCAGGGACAGAGGGCTTTGTTTTTACACAAGCCATTTGAACATAATTTTGGTTACCAGCAGGATGTCAGTTTTCTGAAACCAAAATTATTGAGAAGTTAATATTCTTGCTGATATAAGGAAGACAGCATTCATCCTTTTAAAAAGCTTTTCGATAGTCAGATTTTTCAAAAAATAAGTTCTTAAATTTGGCAGTGACTAAGACATTGTGAAACATGCAAGCCTACATACTGTCAAGAAGGCAAAATCTAATCTAAAGCAAATTAAAATAACACGAACTTTTGTGAAAGCTAAATTAGAGTTAACACAAAATGCTCAATTTGTATTTTTCAATGTGTTTATGTTTGTAATATTTATTTAGTATATTGACATTAATGAACGCTTTCAGTACCTGCTGTGTTGTATTCTCAAGAGTGTAAGAACAATTTTTTACAAAAAAATATACAGCCACTTATTAATACATATTTGTAATACAGATTGTATAAAAGATACATTATCAAATGGATTGCTAAATACTTGTGCTAATGTTAAAATTTATTCATACAAGGTCTTTGATGTTCCAAATTATTTCACCTTTACTAAATTCAATTCTTTCCTAAAGTCATTCAGAATTTAAATATGTCTATGTGCAAAAAAAAAAAAAGATTCCTTACATTAATTTCAGATTTGGACAATCTATAGATTATTAAATCCTTTCTTCACAAGCAACTCTTTTGTCATGCTGAACTTTTCCCCACTGACTTAATCATAGTTAAAGATCATGGTTACATGTATTATAGTTAAATTGAAGTTGGCGTTAATTCAGTTTCAAAGCTACTTTCAGCTTCTAGGTAAGCTTAAGCTTAAACACGAATGCTAATAAATTCTAAAGTGTGATATAAATTCAATCTAAAGAACTTGTGCTTGTGTGAGGAAAGGATTGAGGAGAAAATATTAGTTTTACATTAATTACCCTTAATCTCTCACCATGATTAAGGGCAAAATTCAGTGAGAATCTACTGGGTGTAGGCTACAGTTAATTTAGGCGAATCTAAGAGGTCATATAGAGGCTTACTTTGCATAAGAATGGTGGTGTCCTTGCATCAAACTTTTTTTTCAGGAGCAAGAATAAAAGTTGGTGATTTATTTGATTCAAATTTCACTTGCAGTATATTTCCATGGAAGTGATGATAGATTATTCCTAAACCTTGGCAGTACTATAATAGAATGTTTATAAGGAAATATAGATTGCCTGCTTGTTTGCTGATATCAGTGATCCTTAACCTATATGATAAAATAGATTAAATTTTGGAATTTACCTCTAGGCATATTTACTTAGAAGTCCAATATACTTACTCACCAGTTAATGAGTTCATTCTTATTTTGTTTTGAATAAAAAGTTGAGGAGTTACTATAAATCTATGGTTGTTTCTGACAACACCAATATCAAGTGATCGACATCTTTACCTGATCCCAGTTTCTTAGGGAAAAAGCATTGTTTATAAGTTTACAATCATGATTAATCTCTTCCACCAAACCTGTTACATAACACAGTAGCCTTCAACCTTGGGGGTTATGGGCACAAATGAGCAACCACATATTTCTATTAAATCTTTTTTCCTTAAAAAAGGATGCAGTAAAATTTCTAAGAAAGACAAACTAGCACAAACTAGGTATCATTTGATCCCACAGTATTCTACTCTAGATAAAGGATAAGTATGGGTAAAAAGTTAATTTCATCAGCTCTCCAAGTTCTAAATTCAGTTCTCCAATGAAATTTTCTTCTAATATGAATACTACTCCCAAATCATTTTCCCTTGAAATGTATGGGTAAAAAGTTAATTTCATCAGCTCTCCAAGTTCTAAATTCAAGTTCTCCAATGAAATTTTCTTCTAATATGAAGACTACTCCCAAATCATTTTCCCTTGAAATGTATTTAAAAAATCACTACATGCCTACCCCATTAGTATATAAAATAATAAATACATTATAATCCAAACCTCTTGATCCAAACTCACACATTCTTAATGCCTGATTCCTTCCGGGTAACTTCTAAATCTTTTTTGTCTTCTATTTACACACACCTGTAAATTTCCATCATGAGTTATGGTCATTTGCTTTTCTGTCAAGCCTCCTTTCTCTCTTTCATCTCCCTCTGGGCTGCCCCCTCTTCCATCATAACTTTTTACTGTCATTTTCATTTATTTAAGACAGTTTTTCCTTTCTACTCTTCCTTTCTTTTGAAGTTGTAAAACAGCAGACCTCTGGCCTTCATCTCTCCACACTTTTTCCCATTTCTGAAAAAAGCTCAAAAACATGTGGACCCTGGAGGAATAGTGGGAAAGGAAAGGAGCAGAGTAATTGGGATTTTGCTTCTTGATACTTGTACAAAGTAAAAAAAAAATGTCTAGGTGATGTGATGATGGTACTAGTGATGATATAAAAGACAGAAAACCTTGACAAGCATCAAGGTAGTATCCTGAGGCACCTTTCTGTCCACAGTCAATTGCCAACCACAGCTATAAAGGTTGTTTATTATGATTTAATGTTGGCATTAATTTGCTGTTTACATAGTCTTGGTCAGAAAAGTTAGGAAGATGCTTCTCATATATATTTGAGCATGTGTGTTCATGCAGAAACATAAATATACTTTCTATCTCAAGTTATACTGTTAAGGGCATTCAGTGATTATATACAGAATTTGTTGAAGATACATTTGAAGTAGCACATAAATAATTTAGTATAACAAATGGTCATTTCTCCTACATACAATTGTCAGAAGCAATTGTAATAGCATTAGCAGTTGCAATATTTTAACATCGGTAATGTTCAATATCAACAAGTGTAAATTAACTACATTAATTTAAGGTTTTTTATTTTTTTTTATGCTGTTGGTGCTAACAATCCAAATTTTTCTTTTCAAGAGTAATTTTTCCCTGGAATAAACCTTTTCTATATATAAAAAAATGTATGTTCTTTAAAAAAAAACCTGGGACAATAATCAAATCTGTTCTTCCCTTCTCCCTATAGGGGACCTAATTTAATATGTGTATTTTAGATGGAGGTTGTACATTTTGCAAGAGATATTGGAGACATTTTTTACAGGCCTCCTTTTGAATAAAATAGTGTGACCATGAAACCAGAACAAAGCTCATCATTTACAATGTCTGATAGGGCCTTCCTGAAAATATTTCTTATCTCAGAAATTTCTTAGCAAGTTCATATAATCAGAAAAGTTAAACTAGAAAAGAAGGTTTTCTTGACTAGTTTAGGAAAAGGAGGTGGGGGGGGAGAGAATTACGTAGAACTGTGGCCAAATGAACTTATCTGAATACAAGTGAGGCTGAAGTGATCAAATATAGATATATATCAGATACAGAATATAGAAGTAGCTATTCTCCCTACTTGGAGCCATTCCTGACCCTTTGCTGTGCTATATTTTCATTTATTGATATGCTATTTTAAAATATTATTACTGTATCATTAAAATGTTGGGATTTAGAAAAAGAAGAAACAACAGGTTACAAATATTGCCTTTCGCCATTCAAGAATTCATTCTTTTCTGTCTTCTTTCTAAATGCAGATTTTTTTTTTTTTAGAGACTACATGTCCTTTTCTATTATGTATGCAAATCCATTTTTGAGTTTCAAACTCAAGGAATCTTCAGGTTTAAGGAAAGCATTGGGTTAAGTTGCATTATGTGCAAAACGATTCCTTCTCTATTAATTATGTGGAGGTGGCACACAAAAATATGGTTTGTTTTGTCTAGAATAGCTCTCATATACTTAAAATGAGGAATTGGTGATCCAACAGATTGTTGCAACTATTTTCAGCTTCCAAATCAAATGACAATAATATGCCAAAATAGCCTTGGTTTCGTGAAAGACTAGTTGGTCTTTTTTTCTAATTACTATACAATTTTAAGGTTTAATTCCACTGAATATTTCTTTATTTTATGGTATCTAGGCACCACATGATGACCAAACTATAAAGAATATATTCTGTTAATTATTAAATTCAATTGTTACATTTTATTACCTTTGACCTGGTTTTTAAAATGAAGTTTTA